ACAATCAATTATTGAAATAAACTATTTTTATAACTACTTAATTTAAATGCATCAATTTTAAAACTTTAAAACAAATTTAAAAATAAATGGTTAAAACCCTAATTTTGAATATTTTGTTTTGGTTATCATATATATCTCCTTTGGAGTCGATCATGTTTGGGACATCACACTATACCTAAGCATCTTTTCCAATAGAATTCAATCATTCGATAAAACATGTTATCGGACCAACTTCTTCCACTAAATTTAACAAAATTCAAATTTCTATCCAACATATTGCGAAGACTTAACCTGAGATTCAAATTTTCGTTCATCATGTTATGATGGCAAATCCATTTTATTAAAATCAAGCCCATTAGTAATTTTAAACATATTTTGACAAAGTACGAAACAATTTCACATACTGAATATTTATTTTATATAACTAAATTTTATAATAATTAAGATTATAAATATAAATAAATATTATATTTAAATATATAAATTATATTTTTTATTTAAGATAAATAATTTATATTATAACACATAATTTTTTAATTATTGATAGATTATTTTAAATGTTAAAGTTTTAGTTTGTAAATAAATTAATTTAAAAGTTAAAATATATATAAATTCCTTAAAAAAGGAGAAAGTGGTTGGCGTTGAAGCACAGTATCGAAATTGAAGATAAAAATTGAGTAATACGTATTAAATTGAGAGAAGGATGAGATAGGCAGTTGGAAAAGGCAAAATGATGGTGCAAGGCTCAGTCAGAGTCAGAGAGTCAGAGAGAATCACGAAAACACAATCTCAAGATTAGCTTTTATGAATAATAACCAGTAACGTCGGTTCAGTGGTGGAGTTTAGGTACTCTGCATCAAGTCTTGAATGTGATTGTGGTTAAAGAATGCACGCATGCATCTTTTTTTGTTTTCCAAGGCTAAACAGTAGTACTATTTTTGACGGATAATTGAGGAGGCATTACCATTCCCTTATGTCGGTGCTAAAAAAGGTAGCCAATGTGCGTTGGATGCATGTATATATATTCAAAAGGTTAGGTTAGTTCTCACCATCCACTAAACAATAATATACATAAGCCTTCCTTTTCAAGTCATTAGCAATGCCATACCCAACAAATTAAGCTTTTAGTTTTACACATATAAGGCAAAACCCGAAGCTACCCACTGGAATATTGTGGAGATTTGAATGAATGAATGCCTTTGAATTAAAACTGATTTGATGTGTTTCTTCGTGGGTGCGTGCGTGCATATATAATATATACATGCTAATCAAGTCAACTCAAATAAACTTGATACAATATCCCTTGTATTGTACCAAGTTTTGTCAAAGCACAAGTGCATTTGAAGTCAAAAAGGGCCATATACATAACATATCATAGATCGATGTGTGTTGGTTGGTGGCAGTGTCATCCCACCCCACCAGGATTCCTCTAAACCATCCCTTTCTTTTGGAGGACTCATTTCCTTCTAACTTTTATGCACAAACAACCTTATTTTTGACCATGCATAGGTGCAGCCATCAACACCTTTATTTTCAAATTTGTACGCTTTGACTTCATACAGGCCGTATATTTGTACTTCTAATGCATGCCTGGCACTATTAAAATTTATTGATTGCTGTTATGTGAGCTGTCAAATTTTCATTCCACCTTCCTTTTCTATCAGATCATCATTCCTTCAAGGGCTACTTCTGAATTCAACCTGTCAATCATGAAATTTCAAATTTTAATATATTTTTTTGGTAGTTTTTCAAATTTGAATATGGTCTTTGATAATATTAAAGTTGCTAACTAAGCTAGTGGCGTGTCAGATGTCAAATTAAGGCGCTGGGTGACCACAAAACGGGAATACACGTGGAACCTTGTTCCGGGTAATCAAAGTTAAAGAAAAGACACCTTGCTAATCAACATTGGTTTTACTTTTAGCACATCATAATGATTCACTGCACAAGATTTTGGATAACGTGAAGATCAACATTCTTTTAAGTAAGCAACGGTTGCATTAAATGAGAGTTATTTACACAAATATTTAAAAAATGAAATACACACGTATTTGAAGCAAAAGAAAATTATGTAACTCTTCTTTATTAATTGCATAGAAGGAACAAAGTGCTCTTATCTATATATAGACCATATGATAAGGTGGATACTATTTCGTGGTGACTTTGACTTTGGTATCATAGGGGACTGTCTCAACTAAATCCGCAAATCGTGAAACTGGGTGGATTACAAATTAAGAGGCTGAATGAACTTTAACCTCATTGTGTGGAAAAATGTCTTGCTATAGATGTTCTTCGTCCAATCGATAATAATAAAAAATAATTTCTACATGTTAAAATATGAATGTCTTCCTCATTGTGTACAAATTAAGTTTTACTATGAAATATGGATTTTATCATCATCATCATTATTTAATACATGTTAAAATTTTGATTGCTTATGTCTACAAATACTGTATTAGTTACATCAGATTACGAATAACGGTAGATTTATGATTAAAGAGAATAATGAAAAAGGAATGCATCTTTCTAGTTTGTAAGTGGTGACGTGGATTGTAATCTGAAGAACACGCGCGCGAGCAGAGAGAAAGAGAGAACAGTTTTAAGGAATATGGTTGCCATGGACATTGGTTGATGTGGATAGTTTTAGAATCTCTGTGCCATCAATGTCAAGCACTATTTTCAAGTAGAAGTTTGAGAATTTGCACACTCCACGGCTATGGTTCATTTGTACAAGCATTATCAAAATCCATTAATTAACTATGAAACAATTGTGTGGAATAATCATTAAAGTAACTATCCATATAACAAAGGCAAATTAAAAGAAGAAAGAAAGATATCATTAATTGTTCAGGGTAAAATTGATATTACAAGTATGTTCAGCAGTTTACAGGGTGCTATATAGTATTTATTATGTTTGTAGTGGAGTAAATCCTGCCATGCTTGTTACATCATTAATGGAGCGACTTCAAAATCTCAATACTCACTAGCTACGTAAAAAAGGGAAAATAGCTTGTAAAAATGGCCATCAAATTAAATTCAAATACCAATAACGATCCATCTCAATAAAAGAAGGGTTAATTTCAACACATATGCGCAGGAAGCACCACTCCAATTAGTTGACCAAACGCAAGTGTGCACCACCACTCCCGCAAACCCGGCCAACACACCACTCAATCGCAACTTTAAATCCTTTTCAATCACAACTTTTTTTAAAATAGAATTCCCAATATATCCACTACGAATAATACTATATTTTAGACCCCTCGTAGCAGTCTCACATACAATTTTTATCACAATACAAACACCCCTCCAATCATCATAATTTACATATCAACACAGACAGTGAACATATATAACCCGTGAACATTATGGCACAAATGTTGAACTACTATCAAATACCGCCAAATTATTAAAAAGGCAAAATACTGTTTAAGTCATTAGTTAAAAGAGAGAGCCATTTATTCAAGTGCTCATGAATACTAAGCTTCTTATTATTAAGTTTTTATCCTACATAAAATATAATTATTTTATGCTAACAAAATTTCACTTCAATTATTTATTTCATACCAATTTATATATATATATATATATATATATATATATATTTAAGTATCACTAATTTGATTATAATCAAATCAAAATTAGTCAAGTGAAATGAAAGTTAAGTAATAACTTTCAGCAATCCATTGACGATTACAATTTTTAAAATATCAGTCTAAAATACTTTAACCTTCATATTTTTTAAATAAATAAAAACAATTTTTTAGCATATGTCAACCGTGGGCTACTTTGAGCACATGATTGGGATTCTCAATAGACATATGCTGAGACTGGATTTTTTTTTAAATTTTTTTTCTCACGTGAATGTTTTGTATTTCTTTCTAAATTTAATATATTTGATTTTATCCCACTTATTTAATGTCAATATATATATATATAT